ACAAAAAATAGAAAATTTAAATAGTTAATTTGATACTAATATCGATATATTTTTGTAATTTTTTATGATATTTTCAAATGTATATTTTATTCAAAAATAAAAACATAATCTTTTTTTCAAAATCACATAAGACCATACTATAACATCGACCGATAATATTTAGTAGACAAATTAAAAAACAATGGAATAAACCATAATTCATACAACAATTTAAAATCCAACAATTTTAAGAATTTTTCTATTTTAAATTAATTAAGTTTTTAAACTGTTTTTCAAATAAAAAAATCATTGAATTTTTTTTATTTTAAATGATCAACTTTTTGAGTATCATTTTTTTAAATTAACAAATCATTGAACTTTAAAGATTTAAAAACACTTAAATCAGATCTATCATTCTCAAATCTTAAGTCATTCAAACTCATTGCACCCAGTGACATCACTCTCCATCGTCGCCCCATCGTCGTTTGTTCTCTATACCGTCCATTGCCGGGGTTTGCTTCAGGGATGGACATATAAATTTTTCTCAAACGGTGATACAATTTGACTAAAAAATGACAGTAGAAGGATTCGGACTCCGTTCTACAATTAATACGCTGTAGTTTCAAACTTGTGTTCGTTCTAGTTTCAAAACATATACAGTGACACACAACAAATTAATACGGTGACACTTTTCATGATTCTACAACTTTTTACATTACGACGGATGAACAATGCGCCGCAAAGGACCACCATATTCTCTGAATTAGGTTTATCCCTCGTTGGCTCATGTCATCAATCTCCAACTTTTTGATTTGTTTTGTTGTATTTCGATTCTCCATCTTTTACAACAATTTAATTGAGTAAGTATAAGCAAATCAAAAGAGGGAAAATGGAAGGGAAAAAAAACAACTGATAAAAACATTATAAAACATTTGATAGAAACTCTTCAAAATAATTTTTTATGTATGAAGTATTGTTTATTGATGCATATTATTTAAAATCAATAGTACAAGTAAATTGTGCGTAAGTACAACTTATTAAAACTTTATTTTTGAATTCGTATAATTAACTGCAGATAAACATAATCAAATACAAGATAAACATATCATTTTAAATATAAAAAATTAGAATACAATTAAGATAATCATTAAGTTTTAACAGATTATTTAATTATCATTCTTATAGTAAAAATTGAATTAAAAAAATTACATAGAAAACGAAAAATTTTAAATAGTTAATTTAATAATATTATCGATACTTTTTTTTTTCAAATTTATATTTTGTTTAAAAATGTATCGTTTTCTAAAACCACGTAAAACTATATTATATCAACAGAGAAAATGAATAAAATAAAAAATTAAAATCTAGATATATCTTGCTGAATTGCATGAATACCCTTTTATTTTACCTAAAATATATTCAAGGACTTAATTATTTAAAATAAAAAGTTAAATGATTTATTTATAACTATTTAAAATAAAAAAAATATCAACTTTTATATAAAAAAAAAAGAAATTGTTGTCACACGATTAATCATGTTAAATTTTAATGACGACATAAAATATAACAATGAAAAAAAAATATAATTTTAATAATAAAAATATTATTTATCATCTAAATCCTTCAGAGTTTCAAATATTTATCGTTATGGAGTTCATTTATTAAAAAATTTATAATTTTAATAATATGATTAACCTGGATATCCAATCTGTTATGCGAGCCGACTAATCTCAGGGCAACCACCTGCTTTGCAGATAGCCCAGAGTCACCGTATGTGAACCTCCGTGGCCACAAGGAGATTTTTATTCCTCTTTGGATTTGAACCTGAGACCTTCTGGTACTTTTGACCTTTGGAGTTAAGCTCAAACCAATCAGACACTATCCTTGTGGTTAATAAAAATAAAAATTAAAACACGACGGATTCATAACAATTTTTCTTGGTGCAGAATGATTAAGAGTCTCTCTTCATATAATGCAAAATGAAATATAATTATTTACAATGAAATTAGAGTGGGTTAAGAGAGGCCCAAGATACAAAATCATTCAGAAGATTTAAAAAGCATTAAAACAGACTTTTTTTGCCAAATAAAATTCACCTCCTAACAATTTAGATATTATCTCTTAATGAAACCATTAAGAGATAAACAAACAACCCCTTATACATCAAAGGTTTTTGATAAATGAATTAAAGAATAAATAATTATATTACATAATAAGAGAGTAATAATAAAAATAGTAGTTACTTATTTAATTTAAAATCAAAGTTTTTAACCAATATTTAAATATAAAAAAATACATATTTTAGTTTCTCGTTACTGACGGTTTCAAAATTTATTTAAAAATAAAATAATGCCAAAATTACACGTACTTAGAATTATTCGTCATTGTCCTATGTTGGCTCAATGCAGTCTTGATACTTAGGGGCCGTTTACTTAAATGCTTACCCGGTAAGTGTTTGATGTTAGGAGTCAATACTATAATTTATTTTATTAAGAAAGATTGTAGTATATCAAAACGTATCATATACAACAATTTACCTGGTAAGAGTCATCACCTTCACTTACCGAGTAAGACTTTCCATCCTTATCATCGCTCTTACCGGGCAAAATTCTTGGCCTTTGCCATGTTCATCCGGTGAGAAAAATTACCCGATAAGTACTTACCGGGTAAGCGTTTAATAAACGACCCCTTAGTGTGTGAATGGTTGTTAATCTGTAAAAGAGCATTTAAGAAAGGGAGAGTATTCTAATATATATAGGTACAGGATCGAACGATAATGTTTTTATTTTATAAAAATACCCTCCAAATTATTTAATCAATAATAAAATTATAATAAATGAAAATAATGTTAGGGGTGAACATATTATCTACACGTGATTTTAGAGATAAAGAAGTCATCAAGATTATAGATAAATACAAAATTACATGATTATCCTTAATTATTTAGTTTGTTTTATTTTAATTTTAATTACAGGTTAAATAATTTGAAGGTTCAAAATTGTTTTCGCATTTTCGTAAAATAAAGGTGTTCTCATGTAAACCCTTCCCTATA